TTTGTTGACTTTTAAAATTTAATTTTTATATCAGTTTTGTTTAATCAGATTTTCCTACTTAATTTTGAAGCAATTTTGGAAATTTGTTCCTAGAGTGTCCAATTTATTACTTTTTATTAGCATAACTTTATATAGAGTTAGATGTTTAAAAATTTCCATATCTTTTATTATATCACCTTTCTCATTCCTAGTTGTGTTTATTCGTGGTTTCTGTTTTCTTCTACTTGTCTTTTTTTTTTTTTTTGAGACAGGGTCTCGCTCTGTTGCCCATGTGCACACCATCAAACCCAGATAATTTAAAAAAAATGTATTTTTGTAGAAATGCAGTCTCACTATGTTGCCCAGGCTGGTCTCAGACTCCTGGACTTAAGTGATCCTCCCAGCCCAGCCTCCCAAGGTGCTGTGATTACAGATGTGAACCACTGTTCCTGGTCTTGTCGTTTGTTAGTTTTGTTATTATTATTTTATTTTGATATAGACTTATCTATATTTTTTTCCCCCAGAGAACCAAGTGGTGAATTTATTTACCAATTGCTTATTTTTTTCTTAGAGATTTATTTTTCCTCTTTTTTTCTTTTGCTGTTTCCAAGATTTTATAGAGATTTATTCTTATCATTTTCTTTTTCCTGCTTTAAACATCTTAAATTGAATGCTTCTTTATTTTTTCTGTAAAAGTGCAATTCTATGATTTAATATCTTGGAATAGTTTTGGCTACATTGTGCAAAATTTGATAGGTTGTGATTTTATTTTCAGTGTTATTTTAATGTTCTACTTTAGTTTTTTTATTATCATTTTTTATTGAGACAGTCTCTGGCTCTGTTGCTAGGCTGGAGTGTAGTGATGTGATCTCGGCTCACTGCAACCTCTACCTCCTGGGTTTAAGTGATTCTCCTGCCTTAGCCTCCCGAGTAGCTGGGACTACAGGTGTACACCACCATGCCCAGCTAATTTTTGTATTTTTAGTACAGATGGGGTTTCACCACATTGGCCAGGATGGTCTTGATCTCTTGACTTCCTGATCTGCCCTCGTTGGCCTCCCTAAGTGCTGGAATTACAGGTATGAGCTACTGTACCTGGCCTAGATTGATATTTTTAAACAATAGGAATATAAAAGACTTTTTCATTTTCAAAGAGGTCATATTTTTTGTTTTTAAAAAGAAACTTTGTTATTCCTGGTTTTACTATGTTATAATCAGAATATGAGGGCTGGTGTGCTGGCTCATGTCTGTAATCCTAGCACTTTGGGAGGCTGAGGTGGGAAGATCACTTGAGCTCAGGAGTTTGAGACCAGCCTAGGCAACATAGTGAGACCTAGTCCTTAAAAATTTTTTTTATAAAATTAAAAAAAAGAGATGATAACTGTATAATTACTACTTTAGGGAGTTTAATGAATTCTTCCTGTGGCTATAAATATACTTAGTTTAATATCCAATGAATGCTTGAAGTGGCATATTATTAGGTTAGTACAAAAGTAATTGTGGTTTTTGCCATTACTTTTAATTATCTAGGTATCATCTTCTTCTTTTAATTAAAAGTAATGTAAAAAACTGGAATTGCTTTTGTACCAACATAATAATTTAATCTTATTTTTTATATTATGAAATTTCTAAAGTTTTATCTGTGAAAGGTTGAAAAAGTTGTGGATGTCTTCCAAATAATCCTGTATATATGAATTTTCTTTTGTATTTCCATAGTTTTTGTGTTATCTACTTTGAAGTTATGTTTTCCCTTGTGAAGGATTCTTGACTATTATATCTTTATTCCAAATACAGGTTTTTTTTTTTTTTAAATAAAACTTTTAGGTTCTGGGGTACATGTGAAAGTTTGTTACATAGGTAAACTCATGTCATGGGGGTTTGTTGCTCAGATTATTTCATCACCTAGAATTTAAGCTCAGCACCCAAGAGTTGCCTTTTCTGCTCCTTTCTCTCCTCCCACCCTTCACCTACATCTAGACCCAAGTGTCTGTTGTTTCCTTCTTTGTGTTCATAAATTCTTATCATTTAGCTCCCACTTATAAGTGAGAACACATGGTATTTCTTTTTCTGTTCCTGCATTAGTTTGCTGAGGATAATAACCTTCACCTCCATCCATGTTCCCACAAAAGACATGATCTTGTTTTTTTATGGCTGCATAGTATCCATGGTGTATATGTACCACATTTTCTTTATCCAATCTGTCATTGATGGGCATTTAGGCTAATTCCATGTCTTTGCTATTGTGAATAGTGCTGTAGTGAACATTCACACACATGTCTTTATGGTCAAATCATTTATATTTCTCTGGGTATATACTTAGCAATGAGATTGCTGGGTCAAAGGGTTGTTCTGCTTTGAGCTCCTTGAGGAATCACCATACTGCTTTCCACAATGGTTGAACTAATTTATACTCCCACCAACAGTGTATAAAGTGCTCTCTTTCCTCCACCTCACCAACTTTTCTGACTTTTTGATAATAGCTGTTCTGATAGGTGTGAGATTGGTATCTCATTGTGGTTTTGATTTTCATTTCTCTAATGATCAGTGATACTGAGCTTTTTATCATTTGCTTGTTGGATGCATGTATGTCTTCTTTTGAGAAGTGTCTGTTCATGTACTTTGCTCACTTTTTAATGTTTTTTTTTCTTGTAAATTTGTTTAAGTTCTGATATTGTTTGGTTTTATGTACCCACCCAAATGTAAACTGTAATTCCCAATGTTGGGGGAGAGACGTGGTGGGAGGTGATTGGATCATGGGGGCAGATTTCCACCTCGCTGTTTTCATGTTAGTTCTCACAAGACCTGATGGTTAAGTGTGTAACACTTCCCCTTCACTCTCTCTCTTCCTCCTATTCTGCAATGTGAAGAAGGTGCGTGCTTCCTTTTTGCCTTTCATCATGATTGCAAGTATAATTTTAGGTATGTTTCTTCAATATCTAGTTTATTGAGAGTTTTTAACATAATGAGGTGTTGAATTTTATCAGAAGCCTTTTCTCTATCTATTGAGATAATCACATGATTTTTGTCTTGTGTTCTGTTTATGTGATGAATTACATTTATTGATTTTAAATGTAAGGTTGTATGTTGAATCAATAAAATTACATTTATTGATTTTAAATGCAAGGTTGTATGTTGAATCAACCTTTCATCCTGGGGATTAAGCCTACTTTATTGTGGTAGATTAGCTGTTTTATGTGCTGCTGGATCCCATTTGCCCATATTTTGTTGAGGATTTTTTTTTTTTTTTGAGATGGAGTCTTGCTGTGTTGCCAGGCTGGAGTGCAGTGGCATGATCTCAGCTCACTGCAACCTCTGCCTCTTGGGTTCAAGTGATTCTCCTGCCTCAGCCTCCCAAGCAGCTGGCACTACAGTTGCATGCCACCATGCCCAGCCAATTTTTATATTTTTAGTAGAGACGGGGTTTCACCATGTTGGCCAAGATGGTCTTTATCCAGTCTATCCTTGATGGGCATTTGGGTTGGTTCTAAGCCTTTGCTATTGTAAACAGTGCTGCAATGATCATACCTGTGCATGTGTCTTTACAATAGAACAATTTATAATCTGTTGGGTATACACCCAGTAATGGGATTGCTGGGTCAAATGATATTTCTATTTCTAGGTCCTTGAGGAATCGCCACACTATCTTCCACAGTGGTTGAACTAATTTACACTCCAAGTAACAGTATAAAAGCATTTCTATTTCTCCACATCCTTTCTAGCATCTGTTGTCTCCAGATTTTTTAATGATTGCCATTGTAACTGGCATGAGATAGTATCTCAATGTGGTTTCGATTTGCATTTCTCTAATGACCATTGATGATGAGCTTTTTTTCATATGTTTGTTGGCTGTATAAATGCCTTCTTTGGAAAAGTGTCTGTTCATGTCATTTACCCACTTTTGGACAGGTTTTTTTTTTTTTTTTTCTTGTAAATCTGTTTTAGTTCTTTGTAGATTCTGAATAATGGTACTTTGTCAGATGGGTAGTTTGCAAATTTTTTTTCCCATTCTGTTGGTTGCCGTTTCACTCTAGTGATTGTTTCTTTTGCTTTGCGGAAACTCTTGAGTTTAATTAGGTCCCATTCGTCTATTTTGGCTTTTGATGCCAATGCTTTTGGTGTGTCAGTTATGAAGTCCTTGCCTATACCTATGTCCTGAATGGTAGAGCCAAGGTTTTCTTCTAGGGCTTTTATTGTGTTAGGCCTTATGTTTAAATCTTTGATCCATCTGGAATTAATTTAAGTGTAAGGTGTAAGGAAGGGATCCAGTTTCAGCTTTCTGCACATGACTAGCCAGATTTCTGAACACCATATATTAAACAGGGAATCCTTTTCCCATTGCTTGTTTTTGTCAGTGATGTAAATACACAATCATGTCGTCTGCAAATAGACAATTTGACTTTCCATTTTCCTAATTGAATACCCTTTATTTCTTTTTCTTGCCTGATTGCTGTGGCTAGAACTTCCAATACTATATTGAATAGGAGTGATAAGAGAGGACATCCTTGTCTAGTGCCAGATTTCAAAGGAAATGCTTCCAGTTTTTGTCCATTGAGTATGATATTGGCTGTTGGTTTGTCGTAAATAGCTTTTATTATTTTGTGATACATTCTGTCAATGCCTAATTTATTGAGAGTTTTTAGCATAAAGGACTGCTGAATTTTGTTGAAGACCTTCTCTGCATATATTGAGATAATCATGTGGTTTTTGTCTTTGGTTCTGTTTATGTGATGGTTTATGTTTATAGATTTGCAGATGTTGAACCAGCCTTGCATCCCTGGGATGAAGCCTACTTGATGGTGATGGATAAGCTTTTTGATGTGCTGTTGCATTTGGTTTGCCAGTATTTTATTGAAGGTTTTTGCATCTATGTTCATCATGGATATTGGCCAGAAATTTTCTTTTTTAGTTGTGTCTCTGCCAGGTTTTGGTATCAGGTTGATGTCGGTCTCATAAAATGAATTAGGGAGGATTGCCTCTTTTTGTATTGTTTGGAATAGTTTCAGAATGAATGGTACTAGCTCCTCTTTTACAATGTGGTAGAATTTGACTGTGAACCTGTCTGGACCTGGACTGTTTTTGGTTAGTAGGCTATTAACTGCTGCCTGAACTTCATACCTTGTTATTGGTTTATTGAGGGTTTCAACTTCTTCCTGGTTTAGTCTTGGGAGTGTGTAAGTGTCCAGGAATTCATCCGTTTCTTCTAGATGGACTGATTTATTTGCATAGAGCTGTTTGTAGTAATCTCTGATGGTAGTTTGTGTTTCTGTGGAATTGGTGGTCATATCTCCTTTATCATTTTTTATTGCATCTATTTGATTCTTCTCTCTTTTCCTTTTATTAATATGGCTAGCAGTCTGTCTATTCTGTTGATCTTTTCAAAACACCAGCTCCTGGATTTATTGATTTTTTGAAGGGTTTTTTGTGTCTCTCTCTCCATCAGTTCTGTTCTGATCTTAGTTATTTCTTGTTTTCTGCTAGCTTTTGAATTTGTTTGATCTTGTTCCTTAGTTCTTTTAATTGTGATGGTAGGGTGTTGATTTTAGATCTTTCCTCGCATGTCTGGTGGGCAGTTAGTGCTATAAATTTCTCTCCAGACAGTGCTTTGAATGTGACCCAGAGATTCTGGTGTGTTGTGTCTTTGTTCTTATTGGTCAAAGCACACCTTTATTTCTGCCTTCATTTCATTATTTATTGAGTAGTCATTCAGGAGCAGGTTGTTCAGTTACCATGAAGTTGTGCGGTTCTGAGTTAGTTTCTTAATCCTGAGTTCTAATTTGATTGCACTGCGTTCTGAGAGACTGTTATGATTTTCATTCTTTTGCATTTGCTGAGGGGTGATTTACTTCAAATTATGTGGTCAATTTTGGAGTAAGTGTTATGTGGTGCTGAGAAAAATGTATATTCTGTGGATTTTGGCTGGAGAGTTCTGCAGACATCTATTTGGTTCTCTTGGTCCAGATCTGAGGTCAAGTCCTGGATATCTTTGTTAATTTTCTGTGTCATTGATCTTTCTCATATTGGCAGTGGAGTGTTAAATTCCCCCAATATTATTTTGTGGGAGTCTAAGTCTCTTTGTAGGCCATTAAGAACTTGCTTTATTTATCTGGGTGCTCCTGTATAGGGTGCATATATGTTTAGGATAGTTAGCTTTTCTTGTTGCATTGATCTCTTTACCATTATGTAATGCCCTTCTCTGTCTCTTTTGATCTTTGTTGGTTTAAAGTCTGTTTTTTCAGAGACTAGGATTATAAGCCCTGCTTTTCTTTTGCTCTCCATTTGCTTGGTAAATATTCCTCCATCCCTTTGCATGTGAGACGGGTCTTCTGAATACAGCACACTGATGGGTCTTGACTCTTTATCCAGTTTTCCTGTCTGTGTCTTTTGATTGGGGCATTTAACCCGTTTATGTTTAAGGTTAATATTGTTATGTGTGAATTTGATCCTGCCATTTTGATGTTAGGTGGTTATTTTGCCTGTTATTTGGTGCAGGTTCTTCATTTTGTTGATTGTCTTTACCATTTGGTATGTTTTTTCAGTGGCTTGTACTGGTTGTTTCTTTCCATGTTTAGTGCTTCCTTCAGAAGCTCTTGTAAGGCAGGCCTGGTGGTGATGAAATCTGTCAGCAATTGCTTGTCCATAAGGGATTTTATTTCTCCCTCACTTATCAAACTTAGTTTGGCTGTATATGAAATTCAGAGTGGAAAGTTCTTTTCTTTATGGATGTTGAATATTGGCCCCCACTCTCTTCTGGCTTGTAGGGTTTCTGCAGAGAGATCTGCTGTGAGTCTGATGAGCTTTCCCTTGTGAGTATCCAGACCTTTTTCTCTGGCTGCCCTTAGCATTTTTTCCTTCATTTCAACCCTGGTGAATCTGACAGTTATATGCCTTGGGGTTGCTCTTCTTGAGGAATATATTTGTGGTGTTTTCTATATTTCCTAGATTTAAATGTTGGCCTGCCTTGCTAGGTTGGGGATGTTCTCCTGGATAATATCCTGAAGAGTGTTTTCCAGCTTCGTTTCATTCTCCCGATCACATTCAGGTACACTGATCAAATGTAGATTAGGTCTTTTCACATAATCCCATATTTCTTGGTGGCCTTGTTTATTTCTTTTCAGTCAGTCTTCTCTAATTTTGCCTTCTTGTTTTCTTTTTTGTGTTGATCTTAAATCTCTGATATGTTTTCTTCTGCTTGATTGTTTTGGCTATTGAAACTTGTATATGCTTAGCAAAATCCTCATTCTGTGTTTTTCAGCTCCATCAAATTGTTTATATTCTTCTCCAATCTGGCCATTCTAGTTAGCATTTCATCTACCCTTTTTTCAAGGTTCTCAGTTTCTTTGCATTGGGTTAGAACATGTTTCTTTAGGTCAGAGAAGTTTGTTATTACCCACTTTCTGAAGCCTGCTTCTGTCATTTCACCAAACTCATTCTCCATCCAGTTTTGTTCTCTTGATGGTGAGGAGTTGTGATCCCTTGAAGGAGGAGAGGCTTTCTGGTTTTTGGTGATTTCAGCCTTTTTGTGCTGGTTTTTTCTCATCTTCATTTATTTATCTACCTTTGGTCTTTGAAGTTGGTGACTTTCAGATGGGGTCTCTGAGTGGATGTCCTTTTGAAGAGATTTTTTTTTCTGTTTTTTAGTTTTCCTTTTAGCAGTCAGGCCCCTCTGCTATGGGACTTTTGGAGGTCCACTCCAGACCCTGCTTGCCTGGGAATTACCTGTGGGGGCTGCAAAACAGTAAGGTTTGCTGCCTGTTTCTTCATTTGTTACCTTCATCATAGAAGGGTACCCACCAGATGTAAACCAGGTTTCTCCTGTATGATGTGTCTCTTTGGGTTAGTGCAGGTCAGGGAGCTGCTTGAGGAGGCAGTCTGTCCCTTATCAGAGCTGAAGTTCTGTGCTTTGAGCTCTGATGTTCGCTTCAGAGCTGCTGGGCAGGGATGTCTAAGTCTGCTGCAGCAAAACTCCAATCACCCCCTTTCCCAGGTGCTCTGTCTGGGAAAGTGGTGCTTTATTTATAAGTCCCTAATGGGCTGCTGCCTTTTTTCAGAGATGCCCTGCCTAGCAAGGAGGAAGTGTAGTCACAGTCTGCCTGCAGAGGCATTGCTGAGTTGCTGCAGGCTCCACCCAGCTGCTATGTAAACTTTCTTGTGATTTTGTTTATACAGGCAAGTTTAGAACTGCCTCAGTATTGGTGGACTGCCTCGGTAATGGTGGAGTGCTTTAGTAATGATGGACTGCCTCAGTAATGGTGGATGCCCCTTACCCCACCAAGCTCGATTGTCCCAGGTTGAGCTCAAACTGCTTTGCTGGCTGCGGAAATCTCAAGCCAGTGAGTTTTAGTTTGCTGGTCTTTGTGGGTGTAGGACTCAGAGTGCCGGAGTGTCTGGAAAAAGTCCCTGATGACCTCTGTTGGGTAGGGGCAGTGTCTTCCACTCTGTTGCACTTCCTGGGTGAGGCAGTGCCCCACTCTGCCTTGGTTTGCTCTCCTTAGGCTACACTTACTGTCCAACCAGTTCCATTGAGTTGAACCAGGTACCTCAGTTGGAAATGTGGAGATCACCAATGTCGCTCTCACTGGGAACTGTACTCTGGAGCTGTTGCTATTTGGCCATCTTGGTGGAAGTCTGATGGTTATAAAAGTTATACAACAGATAAAGAGAAAGTAATCAAAACTGTGAATACAAAAAAACACAAAAGACAGCAAGAGAAAAAGAGGGACGAAAGAACTACAAGACAAGTAGTTAATAAATTGATAACAAAATAGCAATAGTAAATCCTTCTTTATTAATAATTATGATAGCTGCATATGAAATAAGCTCTATAATTAAAAAGATACAGAGTACTGACTAGATTAAAAACAACATCCAACTGCATACTGTCAGAATACTCACTTTGTATTCAAGGATACACATAGTCTTAAAGTGAAAAGATTGAAAAGGATATTGCATGCAAATTTTAAATGAAATAAAGGAAAAATGCCTGTAGTTATGTTAGAAAAGTAGACTTTAGTAAAAAAAGATCTTTAGAGACAAAAATTTTACTTCATAATAATGAAAGGGTCAATTTAGTAGGAAGATATAGCCATTGTAATAGATACACCCAACATTTGGGTCCTTAAGTATGTAAGGCAAATATTGACAGATCTGAAATGACAAATTGATAGCAATACAATAATAGTAGGACACTTCAACACTCCACTTACAATTCAATAATAGTGGAGGACTTCAACACCTCACTGTCAACCGTAGACAGATCATTGACACAAAAATTCAACAAAGAAACACTGGACATAAATTGGACTTTAGACCAAATGGACCTAATAGAATATTCTACTCAACAGCTGCAGAATATATATATATATATACACATATATATATGTGTATATATATATATATATATACACATATATATATGTATATGTATATATATATATTTTTTTTCTCTCATCATCACGGAACATACTCCAAGACAGATTTTATGTCAGGCCATAGAAGAAGTTTGAATAAATTTTTGAACATCAAAATTATATCACATAACTTCTTAACCCATATTGGATTACCAGAGAAGTAAATAACAAAAGATGCTCTTGAAACTTTACAAATACATGGAGATTAAACAGCAGGCTCCTGAAGAATCTTTGGATCGGTTGCAAAATTAAGATAAAAATTAAAACTTTTAAAAATGAATAAAAATAGGGACACAGCATACCAGAACCTCTGGGACACAGCAAAAGCAGCGTTAAGAGGAAAATTTATAGTGTTAAATGCAAATATATATATATATATATATATATATGAAGAAACACCACAAATTAGCAACCTACTGTTACACCTTATGAGTCTAGAGAAACAAGAGCAAGCCAATCCCAAAGCTAGCAAAATGAAAGAAAGAACAAATATTGGAGTAGAACTATATAAAATGAAGTTAAAATAAGTACATGGAATCAATAAAATGAAAATTCAGTGTTTTGAAAAGATAAACAAAATCGATAAACCACACACTAGACTTACCAAGAAAAACAGAAAATCCAAATAAAAAATCAGAAATGAAAAAAGGCACTTACACTTATGACTGATGTCATAAAGATACAAAAGATTATCAGAGACTACTATGAATGATGATATGCCCACACACTAGAAAACCTAGAGGAAATGGATAAATACCTGGAAACATATTATTTGAAGATTGAACCATGAAGAAATAGAAATCCTAAACAGACCAATAATGAGTGGTGAGATTGAAATAGTAATAAAGAAATCTCCCAAGGAAAAAAAGCCTCGGATCAGATGGATTCATAGCTGAATTCTACCAAACATACAAAGAAGAACTGGTACCAATTCTCCTGAAATTATCCCCAAAAAGTCGAAGAGAAGAAAGTCCTCTCTAACTCATTTTACAAAGTCGTTGTTACTCTGATAGCAAAGCCAGACAAGGGTACAACACACACAAAAAAACTACAGATCAACATCTCTGATGAACATAGATGTAAAAGTCTCCCACAGAATACCAGCAAACTGAATCCATGAGCATCTCAAAAATGTAATACACCACAATCAAATGAGTTTTATTCCAGAAATGCAAGGATGGTTCAACATACACAAATCAGTAAATGTGATTCATTACATAAACAAAATTAAAAACAAAAACCATATGATCATCTAAATAGAAGCAGAAGAAACAGTTAATAAAATTCAGCATCCTTTCATGATGAAAAATTCTCAACAATCTAGACATAGAAGGAAGACATAACTCAAAATAATAAAAGCCATATGCAACAAACCTACAGCCACCATCATACAGAATGGACAAAAGTTAAAAATATTTCTGCCCTGTCAAGAAGTATAACAAGACAAGGATGTTCAATTTTACCACT